CTCCCAGGTTCAGCTAATGAATGGCAGAGTTTCCACTTTCTAGAAGCCCTCTCCTTAAAACACTGGAAAGAACTTTTAAATTAATCCTTACCACTACAAGGAATACCAGGCGTAAAAAAGGTAACCACTTCAATCTAATTCAGCAGAATAACAGCAGCAAGGTATTCAGCTGACCCCAACTTCAAAACTATACATCCTCAGACTCAGCTTCAGCCTAGGGATTTTATTTAATGCCTGCTGCAGATATAAAATAACCAACCCACCTGAAGTTCAAAGAGAACTTATAAAAACCCACCGTACAAACAAGAGCAGTTGTTTTCAACTTTTGATCACTGAGCCCCTGAAAGTCCACAGACCACTTCCAAGGGCACCAAAAAGATTGCTTGTTTAGATGTTGTTGTTTTATCAGTCAGCAGATCAAAGTAATTTAAGCTTCTAGAATTGTGATTTATAGGAATTAAATAAATTTAATTTTGTTCAATCTCAATAGAAGCAGGAACAGACTCACAAGCATTTATAAAAATAACACTACTTACTTTGTGCATCGAGACAGATGAACGTAACCCAACTGATTAAAGCAAAAACCAGAGATCTAGAAAGCGCCATGAGCGCTGCAGAAAAAATATCTTACTGAAGGCAAACACAGGTGGCTGTTTCTCATATACAATATCTGTAGAAAATCATTCTATTTGCCATACCATAAGTTAGTTATCATTTGAAAAACGCTTCAGTGAACACAAGGCAAAAGACTGCAATAAGCCTTTGAGAGCAATCCACGAACTATATAACATGCTTATTTTCAGCTTCTGAGATCAAAGTCCCTTTGGGGCAATAAAAATAAACCAACAAGGAAATATAATTGTTTGTGTTACAGCACAAGTAACAAAGTCTATTTTTATTTTAATATTCAACATAGAGATGAGAATAAATAAATCAGCAAGATGTCCTAGCCAATAGGAAAGAAACCTACGTATTCCCTGGGAAAGAAAACTAAATGGGGTGTCAAAAGGCAAAGGGCATGATCTCATAACTCTGTTCCACAAGGAATAAGCACAGAATTCCTGTTGTGAAAACAGTAGTTACTCTTTGATGCGATGCAGGCAGACACCTCTGAAGCGTGCCTAGTATTGTACAGATAGTATACATTGAAAATAGGTTTAGCAGGCAGTTAAAACATTTTACTTTGATGAAGCTTCCTGCAAAAAGAAAAAAAAAAAAAAAAGACACTAACAGCTTGCAGAGAACTTTCAGACTACAAATGATACAGCTAATCACGCAGTTTGTTTCAATCATGTGGAGGTTAAAATACCTTTAATTCAAAAGAGCAACTGATTACGCAGTAAGGAAACCGCTGCCAGACCAAGGTCTTTTCACATTTGTGCTAGCATGTTTTGTCACCATGAATACTAAAGTAATTACTATAGTTTGAATGAAAACACAAAACATAATAAAATTGCATATAATAACTAAAAATTAAAATTATCATTGTACTTTCCTAGCCTTAAATAATTGAAATGGAAATGTGGGAGCAATTCAAGCAGAAGCAATTAAAAAAATATTAAAACAAGTTCAGTCCTGGGTACCATCTCTTCTGAACAAAGGCCACATCCAGACATGATTATGCATTCAATAGCACTATTACTAGAGCCAATCTCAGGCAGTTATTTTTTCCTCCCCTGGCTGATTGTTCCCTCTGTCCATGCCGGCCAGGCCTTAGCAAGGTTATGTGGCAAAATACAGAAAACAGACCTGTGCACAAAGTACCTCCTGAGAAGAAGAAAAAGGAAGAGAAAAGTTTTCTGATCTTGTTCACTGAACGGCATCGCATACTTTTGTGCTATCGCAGACAGGCCAGAGGTTACATAAACTGATATTTGTACCAAAAAGTTCTTCCAGCAGTCAATCCTCTTGACCACTGGAAATATTTACGTGCTGGAATCTTAATCCACTAACGAAGATCTACTTTTGGATATTCCAAATACCAGTGACCTCTGTTAGCAAGAGGCATCCCAGAGAACTGGAAGCTCAGTGATGAGAAGTGGTGTGAGACCTTAGAGGATAAAACTCCATAAATATTTCCCTCATTATCTACGAGGAAGCAGCCTAGAAGCTGAAGGAGGTGCACACATTTGGTTTTGCACTGGGTTTATAAGTTAAAGGTCACCTACAGGCGGATGTAGAATGAAAACTGCTGCTCAGATGCAGCACAATGCTGCTATCCACTCTTTATAAGCTGCATTAGCTGTTTAGGTGGGTGGTTCTTAGTCCAAGGCTGCCATGCAGGATTCTTCCTCCCTGCTCAGTTGTTGTTCTCAGGGATCTGCACTCCAAGCCCAAAGATGACCCATCATGTCCACCTATGTCCTATAATGGAATTAGGCCCAGAACAGAG